GAGGCCAGGCGCACCAGCGTGCCCAGGGTGAAGCGCGCCGCGCCCACGCGCCGGTACTTCTCGCTCTCGATGTCCACGTCGGCCACGAAGCCCCAGGCCAGGGACAGGAAGGAGAAGAGCCGCTGGCCGGAGCCCAGGTGCACCGCCGCCAGGTCCAGCCGGGACACCAGCCCCCGGCACAGCTGGAACCCGCAGCTCACCACCAGCTCCTCGCCCATCGCCGGCGGGAACCTGCCGAGCACAGCGCCAGCCCGCGGGCCGGGGGCGGGTCAGAACAAGGCAGCTCCCCGGCTCGGCCTCTTGCGAACCGAACATCCACGGCTCAATGCTCATATCGGCTATATCGGACGAGTAACTTGCCAGGAGGAAGATGACGATTTATAAGAAATCCATCATTTCCACAAGCTGTTACTCAGCACCTCAAGCTGCATTCTTCATGCGTCCGGAACCCGAAATCGGCACCTTGGCGTTCCCATGCGCTTGTTTCTAAAAGTGCACTTCGCCCAGGTGCCCAGCAGAGGGCGCCCGTGTCTGTAATGACGGGGGTCTGACGACCGCAGAGATGCCCTTGAAAGCAAACGGCCCAGCATGATGCGAGGACTGACCTTCACTTTCTCACACTGCACCCCCCCAGTTATTAATGTCATCTCCAACAAACACGGAGGCTTTTCTCTTTTTCTCCTGGAGGCTGGGCCTGACTTGTCGCTTCTTCATGGAAAGGGCTTTTCTCTAAGGGAAGCGTGCCTAAATGAAAATACAAGCGTGCATGCTTTCTTCACGCATCGTCCCCCTGGGCAAGGACACCTGGTTCAGAGCTGCAGGCGGCGCCCCCTGTGCCCCCCGGGAGGCAGCACTTACCCGCAGTAGTGATTGATGGAGGCGGCCAGCGCGTTCCCAGAGCCCCCTGGCAGGATCCCCAGGGGTGTCCGGATAGCGGCCTCCCAGTCCCCCCGCTCCATCAGCCCGTTCACCACCTGGGGGTCACAGGAGCACCACAGCGTCACGGCGCCAGTCTGGCTCCTCGAGAGGCGTGTGGAGGACGGGCGCTTTCTCCTGCTGCTCTCAAGACGCCTCCAGAGAACAGTCCTCACACCCCGAGTCTCAAATGAGCTCATTCCCCAGGTGTTCTGCTCTCAGAAATGAGTGCACAGTGGGGTGTGACACGGGACACCTGATGTTTTCTGAAATGCCGGCGCTGGAGAGGGTGTAGGACATGGCGCTGTTGCACCAGCGAGGCAGGTCTAGTTCAAGCCAGAGGAGGACGTCTCCGTGGGGCGCGGCTCGTTCGGCTCGTGTCTCACCTCGAACAGGAGCCCGTCTCCAGACATGATGACCAGAGCGTCCCACTGCGACAGATCCGCCTCCCTCACCAGCTCCCTGGCGTGGTTCTGCCGCTCTGTGGAAACACCGGGACGCCTGTGACCCAGGGTACGAGCCGGACGCGTCGGGGACCAGCTGGACAAGGCCCAGATGCCCGTCCCAGCCTGCCTGCACACTCTCCTCTGCTCAGCCCTGGGGAGCCTGGACCAGCCCCTCTGCCTCTGCACGGGGACGGGCTCACACAGGGCAGCGCCACAGGAGAGGCACGGGGCTCGACGCAAACCCAGGGAGTCGCACTCCACCACTTAACTGGATTTCTTTATTCCTTTTCAAGGTAATGCAGGACACTCGGCTAGGTCAGCATTTCAGCGTGGTCTGAAAATTAAGAGGCCCTTCTACTCCGCTGATAAAGAGGAAAGAGTTTGACACTTTCGATTCTATTCAAAGATACTAAAATACTTGCTTCAGGGAATTTTTGATTGTGAATTAAAGTCTGTGTCATACCGTGCAAGTTTGTCTGCTGACGTTAAAAATAATGTGACTACTGCCAGATTCGCAAACATGAGAATGTCCCCTGACCACTCTGACCACATGGAACTTCAGTTTGCAAGTTTTACTCTCTGTAGCAACAGTGAAGAACAACACAACACTGAGGGTTTTCCCTGCTAAAACCCTGTCCGGAGGTCGCAGGCAGGATCTCCAGGGACAGACCTTGCATTCTCCATGCCGACAGGAGAGACAGGAATCAATGTCCAGCTATCGCCCCAGTCACATCCACACCGTACACACGGCAACGCGCCAACAGTCACCCCTGAAGCTGAAAGCAGACAGACTGTCCGCTGTGTTAATTAACAGGGCGGCCGCCTCCTCTTCCCTCTTCCCAGCCGGACCTCCAGCAGGGAGACTCCCGAGAAATGGAAGGTGATGTCTGTTGCGGATGGGAGACGAGGGAAACCAGTGGTAGAGCTGGAAGTTCTCCTGGCTGTCCCAGGGTGACATTCTAACCCCCCTGATGAGTGATCACACCCAAGCTTGCCTGGACACTGAACTCAGATCTTCACGTGAGCTCCTCTGTTCTCCTGGACCTAGTCCTGCCTTTAAGAGCATGATAGCTCAGGTCTAACATCATGCAACAATACGAGTCCAATCCCAGCAGAACTGGTCGCTCCTGGTACTCAGTCAAGTTCTTCTCAGAGACTAATCGTGAGAATTTCTAGGGGTGCGCGAATTCCTCCCCCGTCGTTTCACCTCTGTGGGTTTTTACCCTGAAAAAAGTACGAAACGCTTCACCTCCCTTCTGCCCCTGTAGCCCCTCTATCCCCTCACTGGACATGACTTCAGCAAAGCAGGCCTCAGTTCCACACACACAGCCCCCCTCTGCCAAAGGCAAAACAACTGCCGTTTATCGATTTACACCGACCCACACACAGGGCCACCCCAACAGCATCTTTTGCAAACCAGGGGAAATCGGGGTTTATTTAATCGGGGTAAAGTACAGTCACCGTGAAGGACAAGCCTGGCCCTGGCGTGCAGATTACCCAGCAGGCCTCAGTGCAGCCTTATGTGTTGCTGTGTGGCAGAGATCAACGCCTGCTCTTCACAAACCAAGACCAGACTCGGGCAGAGGGCTGGGGGGCTCAAGCAGGTCTCTAAAACAACACCCACACCTGCAAATACCTTAACCTCCTCCACTTCCTCAAACTGGATTCACTTCCACACAATAACATCCTAAATGTATTACCTCTTCGACTGCGGTCCACATGCAAATCTCCACAGCTCACACCATCAACCTCCAGACAATACCACTGGTAGAAAGCACCCATCCATTTTCTGATTGTGAAAGGCAAGCAACAGGCACAAGACAGGGCACACCAGTCCATTTCAGGGCACATACAGATACAGACACACACACTCATACCAGAGCCAAATCTCCCAGGAGCCAATTAACCTACCAGCACGTCCTGGGACTGTGAGAGAAAACCCACTCGAACACAGGACACAGCACCCCAGGCCCGGAATCGAACCCAGGGCCCCAGAACTGCAAGGCAGCCGTGCTCACCACTGCACCACAGTGCCACCAGTCTAGGTTGGTCAATCTAGGTTGTGTTAATCATGCCTTTCGGCGTGGCTGAGGCAGCAGCAAAAATGTTGGGCGTGATTAGAAAGTACTTCTTCGCAAATACATCACATTTTACAATTCTTCTCTGTTGGGTGGCCTGTACTTATATGCTTCTAGCCAGGCCATTAGTTTAATGAAACGCGTGATTAGGGCAGGATCGTGAGGCGCCATGCTTTAATCCATGTGGGCAGCCTGCTGGATGGACTCGAGTGTGAACGATCTAATTCCCCTGACCCCACACTTCCTCACTGCTGGGCTAGTCTTTGCCTCGGGAGGACAGCAGCACACAGTGATGCATCAACAATTAGACTGTCTTTTTCATTAGAATCCAGCTGCTGGATAGGAAGGGAAAAAAACTCTACGCCCTGGCTGGGGCCTTGCACTTCTGCTCAAAGCTAGCAAGGCTCCAGCTTTCTAACAGTGCCTGGAAGAGATTTAATGTTAGCAAGCTTTAAAAATAAGACTTTTAGTTTAGGCTATGAAAGGTTTAGAATGTTAGTTCCAACTGTGTAATTTTAAACAATTTTAAACTGAATAAACATAAGAACACAAGAAAGGTTACAAACAAGAAACAAGAGGGGTCAACCAGTCCTTCCAGCCTGTTTAGTAGTGCTTAATTGATCTAGGAATTTCATCCATCCATTTCTTGGCAGAAGCTAGAGTATCGACTTCAAGAACATGGCTGGGTAGCTTGTTCCATACTTCTATTTGCCTTTTTAATTGCTTCTCCACATCATTTTAGAAGATGTAAATGACGCGTCAACATAAATACCTAAATCTTGTTCATGAGCAGCCTCTTCTTTCTGACCGTTTCCCGTTTATTATTTATCATTTATGTTTGTACTTCTTGAGAGGAAAACCTTGTGCATTGTTTAATGTCTGCATTAAACAACATCTGCCAGGTGTTTGGCCAATCTTGAATTTTATCTAAATCTCATTTGCTGCTTCTGTAGTTGGTTCATTCTCACAATTTGTTATCACCTGCTTACAATACCAAAGGTCCTAGTTCAGATCCCTGTGGTACTCCAAGAATTATATCACCCCAATCATAGTACTCACCTGCTAGTTGTACTCTCTGTTTTCTATTTATTAAACGATTCTCAATCCAAACACTCACATTATCCTGAATGCCTACAACATGCAACTTGATAATTAATCAAAACATTTTCTGAAAATCTAAATACACCATATCATATGGTCTGTGAGTATCCATTCAGATTCAAAAGTTCTTCAGACAAGTCCTACCTTTTCTATTATTAAATATGCTGTTTCCTGGTATCCAAGTTCCTTCCAGCTAAGCCTCTAGTTGCCAAGATTGGTTCCTGACCTTACATGCAGCACAAGTCAGACTTATTGGTCTGTAATGACTTAGTCCAATTTTCTCAATCAAATGGATGCTTAGAATATAAAAATAAAAATAAAGAATATAACTTTTTTTATAAGAATATAAAACTAGGAGACGTCAGCGTCCTGCAGTCTGTGTCCCTTGCTCCGGCGGCGAGACTGACCTGTGATGACCAGCTGGTGTGCGATGCCGGCCTCAGTGAGCATGCCCTGGATATGGCTGGTGAAGAGGGACAGTGCCTGCCCCTTCCCACTGTGAGGGTTCAGCAGCACCAGGATCCTGCTGGGTCGCGGCACCGAGAACCCCAGCACCCCTGGAGAGGAGACAGGGGGACACGGGGGGACAGGGAGACAAGGAATTGAGTGTTAGGGAACATGCTCCTCTCTTTCAAACCCGTCTTCCTGTGCTTTTTCCCCTCACATCCGAAATCCACTCCCAAACATCCCAGATATTTAAAATACAAGCTGATGGAAAATTAAATCGAGACTCCACCCACTTTTCAGGCACTAATTCTTTAGTCTGGGTGTTTGTTCTTTGGCTTTCGGATATCAGGAGACCGATAGGGCACCAGAAATACAGTAATGAAAAGGAAATGCTTTCGTCCCGAACCCTAAGAGTGAGAAGGCAATGGGGCTGGAAAGTGAGGGACAGAATGGCAAACGTGCTACAGACAAGGAAATATGCACTGGTAGTTGACAGTGACAAAAAAAAAAAGTTCAGAATAATGTTAGAACAAAAAACATGCACCCTCTACCTTTGTGGCATTTCTACTGTGTAAAAAAAAATGTAAAAGAAAAATTGAGAAACAGAGTAAACCCCCAAGTGCAAAGGGAGCAGTCTCGTGGTGCATTTGCTGTGACTCCAGTGAGCAGTTCGACACGATGAGCCTGACGGAGCCCGTGATGTAGGTAAGCTCCTGATGTGTACCCAGCGCCTTGCAGAGTGACCCCGGAGATGTATCATCAGCTCCGCTCCTTATTTCGCCAAAGATGAGAGCTGTGCAGGTCTGAAAATACACTACATAGCGACAAAAAAAGTGCAGGGGACAACTATAGGCGTATTCAGCTGCCCGCGTAATGACAAACCACAGTTAAAGGCCTCAGGGTCCCGAGAGGTGTATTTATGTGTGTGTAGTACATGCAAACTTAGCTCCTTTAACTACCGGCTGCTGTAGATCCAGAGCTCACACGCTTACACCGAGCCAGAGCCAGGTGGAGCCGAGGAGTCCTCACCGCCTGTCGGATGGGAGTGCCCGTGAAAGGGCACTAAAAATGAGCTGCAGAGGTAAGAGTGCAGGGTGGGTGGCAGTGTGGCGTTTGGCAGAGCACGCAAAAGGAATGCAGCTGCCATCGGTGTACCAGCTTTGTGGGCGCATAAAGGGCTTCCGTGCCCAGCGCCATCGAACCAGAATTTCTTTGAGCTGCGAACATGTTCGGCGGGAACGATGGGACCCCTCGGAGGGCTTGCACGCCAGCGCACTGCCGTCTGAACAGAGCAGCGCCGTGCAATGCCAAGGACTCTGGCACCAGACCTGACCCTGCTGAGCTTCTGCCCCGCACACAAGAACCCTCTGTCTGGTCTTTTAAGACAGCAGCCCCCCTCCCCTCCACCCATCCGGTTTTCCAGAGTGGGATCCGTCATACCAAGCAGTAATCCTGGAAGGAAAAAAAACAACAAAATCTCGCCTCATTTGCTTCTTTTGAATTGTCAGCAGAAATCAGAGCACGATGTGAGATTATGGCAAACGAAACAGGGCAGCAACAAAAAAGAAATATCTACCAATAATGTGGGAATGGCTTCCAGCACAACACACACCACACTTTGTTTCCTGCACAATGGGGGCTTTTGTACACTACACACACTGAACGCGTTTCCAGAATATTGTAACTAATGATACTGGACAATGCACTTTTGGACTTTGGCAAAAAATAATACTTCAGAGACTGATCGATCTTCCTCATTCATTTCTATTTGAGCTGGCTGTATTGTACATCGTGCTGTTGCCATGCCCTCTGCGACTCTGCAACAGATTCGTTTAGCTCACGCTGTGTCTTATTCATTTTGGCAGCCTCCTCCAATAACATATCTGCGTTTCCCCTGCTCTGCTCTTAGCTAAGAGATATGCAGGAATGCTTGCTGGGTCACACAACACTGCACTCTGTATTTGCATATAAAGAACCCTTTTACTGTAGTTTGGTATTCTGCTGGTTCGTTTTTTTAATGCCCACCAAAGCATTCAAAGCTGAAATCCTTTCTTTTTTTATTACCCCACCTGAAAGCTGCTTTTCCCCACTGCTGTACACACACGACGAAGCTCCTTCGCAAAGCTGAGCCTTCGAAGTCTGGAAATTGAGATGAAGGAAACTTGAGCCAACCTATTTAAGGTGTCTCCAGGGAGATGCACGTAGCGTGGCCTGGTTTAAATCACGTGAGGTATTGTCCCGCTTTCATTAAATGGTAGACACTTTAGCGTAATTACATATTAACTCAGTCCCTTTGAATAAGAAAATCACAGTCAAAAAACAGGTTTTACGGCTACACTAATCCTTCAGTTTTATCCTTTGGTCATTTAAAAAATCCGTAGCCCCCCTAGTGCGCTAACGGAAACACATTAGCAAGGATAACCTGCCTCTCACAGAAGTGCTGAGAGAAACTGAACCAAAGGTTTCAGGGACAGCTGGTGGAGGGACTTTAAAAATTGGTTTTAAAGAAGCTGGAGGAAAATCTTTCAGTGACTGAGCTTGTAGAGCTAGAATTGGTATTGGTGGACCAGCAGTTGGCACTCTTGCCCCTGAAGTTTCCAAACCAACGCCCCGATGTGGTGACAAGGAACACTGCGCTGTAGGAGGCGCTGTCCTTTGGGTGAGATCACCCTCAGTGATTAATTATGCATCACACTTCAAACATCACCCACGCGACACTGTCATCCTGCTGCCCGGCAATGTGCTGCTCAGAACCGACTGCGCCACTGGGCCGGGCGAATATGCGGACTGGTCCTTTCCAGGCCTCTGGATGGCAGGGACAATGGCCCTACTGGGCAGCCTGCCAGCGTGCGCTGTGCTGCAGGGCAGTCTGGGTGCCAAGCAGCATCTCTCCAGGGGATTCTGTGAGGCTAGCCCTGTCCAAGCAGCGTCTCTCCAGGGGATTCTGTGAGGCTAGCCCTGTCCAAGCAGCGCCTAGTCACCTGTGAGACTGGTGCGTTACTCCTGATCGGAAAAGAGCCCTTCTACTGCAGGTGACCTTCCTGTGCGCATGAGCACCAGGGATAATGGAAAACTCCAAGACAAAGAAAAAACAAGGCAAGGAGGAAGGAGAAGAAGACAGAAAACAGAGAGACCCTTAAAAAGAGAAGCAAAACCTTATCTCGAAAGCCACATCCGCGGGTCGATTCGCGCAACGCCGGGAGAGTCATTGCCGAACAGCAGTGACTCAGACACAGCTGGCACGCACTACGTCTACCGAGATCGGGGCCAAAGGCACAACGCAGCGCAAGGTCGAGCCCGGGGCCTGCCAGCATGTCGGGATCCGTTTCAGAAGACGGCAGACAAGCGCTGGGGGCGAGCCTGGACCCAGGAGCCGCTGCACGCCCACTGCTCTGCTCTACTGTGCTACCGCAAAGCAGCTGAAGAGCCTCCGCATGCTGTGGGGAAGACTCACCGTTTCAGCACCCAGCACAGAAAACCCTCAGCAGAGAAAAACGCCTCCCACTGGCTCCAGCGCACACGTGCAGACCCACTATCGCCACAGCTCTGAGGGGGCAAAGGCACATTTCTTGTTTTGTTTTATTCTCAAGCATTAGCATTTGTTTGGGATGACGAAGCTGAATGACATTAATTAATAGGCTGAGCGATTAGACTGCAAGAGCACTCTAATTCTGCTGCCTGGTCATTGACTGGGATTAATAGGTGTTACTACCTTCAGATCCAAAAACACACAGCTCTCCTGAATGCTTTCAAATCCAGACTCAAAACCTTCTTATTTAGAAAGGCCTTTATTTGATTAGTGTCTGTGCCTGCGTCTTGCATCCTCTACTGCATTGTAAACCCTTACTTTAAATTATGCTAATTTTGTTATCTCCTTTTCTTAACTCTTTTCTTATTGTTCTTACTGTTCTACGCATTGAGAAGCTACATATAAAATCAAGTTTATTATTATTATTATTGTTGCTGTTGTTGTACTTATGGCAAAAGGACAAGAGGTGAAAACAGTGATATCTGCAAATATTAACGTAAGATTAATCAGAAAAACATGGGAGCATCTTTAAATAGAACCGATCTTTCTAAGGTGGCAGAATGATTGATTCAGTTCATGACTTGCTTGCCTGAACAGAAACTACTCTTCACCTTTCTGGTCACAAGCTGGGTGCTGTCATAACGGTGAAATGGCTGCTGTCTCCACCTTCCTCCGAGTGAACCGGGTAACACAGGAAATTAGTTTGCATAGTTCAGACTATTTTATTGTGTGACAGAGCCCTACAGCCCTGGAGCTGGAGCTGTTGTTTCAGACACAAAACTTGTAATGAAACATAAAATAAATAATTTTTATATGATGTTCAGATCATTATTCAAACAGTCTTACACAACAAACAAAGAGGCCTGTTCCTTACAGACTTTACACTGGCCCTAATGAACTCCAATTTGATTGATTCTTAGACTATTCTGGAACCTAGCGTGAGGAAAAACTTTAACCACTCAAAATAACAAGACAATGACATAACAAAAATGATCTGGCTTTTTTATCAGTGGGATAAGTTGAAACGAAAAAAAAGCATTTATAGACATTGCACTGAATTCTGTTTTTCTTTTTAATCAGCTGTGATTACAGTTGTTAACCACACCCTTCCCAATGAACTGGAGCTGAAACCAACACAGACCTTGACTTGGTCAAATTGTCACTGTAATTGAGCACAATTATCAATCCCAGAGAAAGGCAGGGGTCTCTAAGGATGACAAGCAATATCTTGATCTTCTTTCACACAGAACAAGACCTTAAATAGGAAAGAATGTAGCCCGATTATCATCTACAGTGACGTTTACTATATTATTCTGCAGTGCTAGTGGACTGCTTTACAGCACTGTACACTGTTGGCTATTCATTACAGACACTTATTACACAAAGGCTTCCTGTAGGTGAAAGCATATTCAATTGTCGCCCTTTCAATTCCTTTAACCTCACATTACTCATTTAATATTGATATATTCTGTTAAATACTGTTCTATCAGCTGCCTTGCAACTTGTATGCTGAAACAATCTAATAAATTAATTATGTCTCTGCATTATTGCTATCTGTGGGCTTTGCTTACAAAGATGAAAATGGACTCATGTCCTCTCCCCAGGAAGAAAAAACCCTTTAGACAATAACATTAGACAAAGGTTTTTAATATCAAGTTGCATTGTGGAATTGAGTTCAATAAGAAATATTGTTCCTGACTGCAATCAGACACAAGCCAGAGTAATCTGTCTGGCAGCTGAGTCCCTACACCTGCTTTTATTCTTTGTATTCTGCCAATTCAAACTCTGCAAGTGAAGGAAAATATGTCCTTTATTCTTTGCATATAAATCACAGTACTGCAGAAAACGCTTAGTATTGAAAGCGATATTTCACTTCTGTAATGATTGTTTTCTGGCCTGTAAGCCTCCTTTTTAATACATCAAGTCCAAGTGGCTTTTGGCAATATATCCAGACTGTCTACAAGAACTGCAGGCAGTCACTAGGAAACTGAAGGGATGCATGAATGGATTAAAGATGCAATAAAAAAAGATGGAAAAAATCCTTTCTTGTTTACTTCTCAGCTGCACCACACCTTGGATACGCACATGCAGGGGACACCAGGCTTCCCAATCAGTGCTCAGGCTGGGTGTCTCCTGGCAGGTATGAGCTATAAAAGGACTCCACCTGGCTCAGTGCACTGGAGGCTACATCCTCGAGGACCAATCACGGGCTTGCACTGGTTGCCATGGACACCTAGAGGAAGTGAGAACGTGGCACCTGGCCTGCTCTTTCCTCTTACCTGCCTCCCCAGCAAGAGCCTATTCTACCTCTGAAACGGGTTAAGCCAGGTTTCGTATCCGCAACAGACATTGGCCAGCATTGGTGTTTCTGGTACAAATACGCCGACAACTATTAACTATCTACTTAAATGTACAAGAGTGCTGTGTGTCCATAAAAGATTTCCCTCAGGGGAAAATAAAAATCTTATCTTAACAACTAAGACAGCTATGGAATCCCCCGGCCCTGATAGCCCTGTATGATCCAGCCTGCAGTTAAACAAATGCAGCCACAGCCTCTTGTTGACATCCCCAGCTGTTCCAGCCTCCTCCTCAGCCTCCAGCTCCCACAGACAGTGAGCTCAGCGGTATCACGCCCATCCTTTCCACAGCCAAACCAGCTCAGCGTCACACTACCCGTACGGTCTGCGTTTCCAAGTAACCCAAGAGCGTCTGCACCCACCGTGGTGACCACACAGCCCGCGGCGAGGCGCACTCTGCTGGGGCGGAAGTGACTAAGGCTCACTTGTTGTTTCTTTGACGTGTGCTTAAAACTGGTGACTGGGCCCGGCGCAGAACGTGTGACCTTCGTGTCAACTGATGCCCTCTTTCTAGTGGGGCTTAGTAGTTCAGGTGGGGAGCTGCGTCAGCATGCGCAGGCTGCAAAGGAACAAGTACAGGTTTATTCCAGCTGGGAAGAGAAGAGAGAAAACACAACGTTTCGGCCGTGGAGCCTTCTCACATCCGGCTGAAACGTTGTGTTTTCTCTCTTCTCTTCTCAGCAGGGAACAAGCCTATTACTTGTTCCTGCTGACTTGACAAGCTTCCGAAACTCGTCCTACAGCCTCAGCATATTCCAGCGGGCCGGAGGAGACACAGGCTGCGGCTCCTGCCCAAGGCCGCCTGGTCTTCGATGCCCTCGGGCGGGAACCGGCTTCCCAAAATAAGGAGCTGGTTCTCTGATTTCCGTGACGGCCCCCAGAGTGAAACGGTTCTTCGCCGGCTTCGAGAGGCGAGGGGTGGGAAAAGGCCTAACTGATCAACTGCACCGCTTGGGATATTTAATCGCGATGTTTTTAACTGACTCATTACCGGGATCTGCCTTTATGCCTTCAAACAACGAGCGTCAGAACCGACAGCCAGGGCAAAGGGCAGGACCGGCCCAGGACCAGCCCAGGACCAGCCCAGGACCAGCCCAGGACCAGCCCAGGAGTCTCTCCCTGTCTGTTCGGCTGCGTGTGGGTGTGCGAAAAGACAAATTCCTAATGAAAGACATGGTACAGGGCCAATACAGTGAGCTTCTCTCTCTCTCTCTCATCGGATGGCTGCCCGCTGCAGGAAGGACTGAGGTGCACGCGGGCCGTCGCCACGCCGACGCAGGCGTCGCAGCGGAGTGGAAGAGCAGGTACAGCCGGTCTGTGTTTGGGGACGGCCAGCAACCCGGCAAGCACAGCCCCGACAGGACGCTTCGCTCGCACTGAGACAATTCATTTCTCCCACGGGGAGGGGGGAGGGCGGGGTGTGATTCTTACAGCAGGGGAGAAGGGGCCCCCAGGACAGAAGAGATTAGGAAGGATGCCATTAGGCTCGTTAAACTCACTTTGGCTGATGAGCAGCTTAATTAACCCCAAGATCTCGGCCACTTAGAAGCCAGGGTGTCAGCTGGGTAGCTTGTCTCCAGACCCCCCTGGAGCTGACTGCAAATCAGGCCATGAAAAAGACAAGAAGCAGCAAAACCTGGGACGAAGACTACCAGAATTCGAAGCCTGTTGAGCCTCTCTGGACTGCTCTAAAGTGCTTAGTTTGTTTAATTACCCCCCGGAAGTAAAATGCAAACTCGTAAACTCGTTTGTGGGGCGGGGGTAGAGAGAGAGAGAGAGAAAAATTAGATTTTATTTTACTTTTATTTTTTGTTTGTTTTCACGTGAGTTTCATTATTTTTTTTTATTTGCTTTGGCAACACTGTTTGTACCCATCGGTCATGCTAATCAAGCACCTTGAATTGAATTGAACTCAAGCCAAGTCAAGACGTTAGAACACCAGAGGTCAGGGAGTGTATTACAGCAGCGGGTTTTGCATGTCATCCTTCCACCGCGCTCGTCTCTGGCCGAGCTTCACGTACGGGAACGGGAAGAGCTGCACCGCTGCTCAGAAAATGCTGCAGCCGCTAGAAACCGGCGTGTGTCGCGGCAGGTCAGCGGCACGTGAGTGTCAGCCGGTCCCCCCAGGTGACACAACTCGGCTGCACAACTTCTGCTCCCGATTGCAACTCGGGCATTGGCACGATTTGCGAGTATTCCGTCACACAAGAGTTTCCCCTCTTACAAAATCTAACCACAACCAAAGGAACAAGGACTTGAATTTAGGATTAATATATATATATACATAATTACAATTGCGTGGCTCTATAATTAATTTACTTTAATATTAGTAGCAGGTGGATAGACAACAAGCGCACGTACCCCTGCTTTGAAGATAGAAAAAAAAATACAAGTTATATTGTTTCAGCTAGACTTGTTTAAAAAGGTTCCCTGAAGACGCACGCGAAAGCTAAAAATCTTAAGAGAGTCATCTGCGACAAAAAAAAAACTACTAACAACGACTCGAGAAAGTTTGACGAGCCGGGTTACCGGCAGGTGAGGGCGTAGCGGCGGTGGTTGAGGAAGAAAAAAAAAAAGAAAGAAATTTTCCACTTTTCAAGAAGCGAGACGCGACTTCAGCTCACCCTGTCCCTGCGGCCACAGGCGGACACAGCTCTCCCGTATGGCCGAAGCCCATCTCTCCGCTTCGTCCCGGTTCGTCCGGGCGTCCTGGGACAGCGCGACCTCAAAGCAGTACTCGACCCTGTGCCGGGCCAGCCCGGCACCCATCCATTTCTTCTTAAAGGGGTAGAAAACCACCGAAAGATAAGCCCCGGCCTCCGCGGAGTCTGCCCCTTTAAAAGCTCGGCATCCGATACAGTCCTTCAGATTGAGCAGCACCTTGTTCCGTCCTGCAGGTGCGGAGGTGATCTTCTGGACCGCCAGCTCCCGGTCCGTGAGGCTCACCGCGTACCTGACCTGCTTGCCGGCCGCCGCCGCCGTGAATTCTCCGTGCAGCTGCGCCCGCGGCGAGCCGTTGCGCTGGGGGGGGTCCGGTTCGGTCTTGTCTGGGTCCATGCCGGTGGAGGAGGCGAGGGGGGGGGACGAGGCTGGGACGCCGGTTGAGTTGAGCGGGGACGGCGCCCGGGGAAGAGGAGGTTTTCTGCTGCTGCTGCTGCTGCTCCGCGGACGGAGAGGTAGATGGTACAACACGCACTCGGGCAACGCAGACCCAGGCAGAGTGAGAGAGAGAGCGAGAGGCAGCCGGGGAGACTGCGTCTGCCTCCCTGACAAGTCCAGCCTGCTGTGGAAACGTCGAGCCCCGACCCTGCCGGAGTCTCCTACACCCTGGCGGTGCCTGCGAGTTGGAAAGGGCGAGCTGCGCCGCTCCCTAGTGACGGAAAGGAGAATCACACGCGCCTTGTTGACCAGCACAACTATCTGGAGACTTTTCGCCGAGTGTCAGAGCAACCGCAGACCCCCCCGGGACAACAGCTGAGACCTTTTGCTGGTTTTGTGTTGTTTCGTTTCGTTTTATCCGTGATTTCACGCCGTATATTTACCCCCCCAGCAAATGGTACTGTCGTGTGAACCGAAGCGGGGTCGAGGGGTGATGAGTAAAATCATTGCTTGTTCCGCTTACGGTGCCCTTTAACTCCTGAGTCCTCGGTAACCCGCTTGGATCCGCTGGTGACCCGGGGCCTAACCTCGCCAGCCTCGGCCGGACGCACCCTGGACGGGACGCCAGTCCGTCACGGCGCTCGGGCAATCCCTAGAGACGCCAAATAACCCGGGCGGGTACGTGTGTTTTGCCGGTGGAAGAAAGGCGGGGGGTATCCCGCGAAAAAAGAAGAACACGCAAACTCCACACACAAGGATTCCGAGCAGGACTCCAACACAGGCGGCAGATCTACCCTCCGCGTCACCAAACCCATTCAATTTAGGGTTTTGTTTTGTTGTTGTTGTTGGATGCGTCTAACAGGACGCCGGGGCGCTAAAGTCACCTTTGGTGGTGCTTGAAATGTCCTGTGCTTGTGGATTTCCGGGGATCGGGAAGAGGTGTGAGTTGGGGCGGGTGACGTCACCGGAGCCGAACACCGGGCGTGTTTTTCTGATTTTGATTTTGCGTTCTTGTTTTTATTTCATAACTAAAGACCAATTGTTTAACAGCGAGCAAACTTATGCCTGGGGCAACGGATCCTGTTCTGTGACCACCCAGGTGCTCCTATGTCTCATGGTCCTATGGACGTCCTAGGAACGAAATAACAACTAGGGGGCTGTTCTACACTCGAGCGTGAGTGTATTGCAATTCCTGGAAGCGACGCTGGACCAGTCGCTGCTGTTAATAATTATAACGATTGAGAAAATAAGAGGGTGACTTTCCTGTGAGCTGTACTCTTACAGTTTACAAGCGGTGACTGCTTGGTCCTCCGCTCCCCACCGTCTCCGCAGCGCCTCATGCTCAAAGAATGCACACTTCTGTGTTCTGATCCCGCCTGCGCGCAAAACCCCGTGCAGAGCCGACCGCCGGGGACGCGATCTGCTGGCTCCAACATGACTCACGTCTCTCGCAGAGGGCTAACATCAACACCGGGGGATACGATCGCTTTAAGATATCTTTACCAAATAAGGAACACGCCGCCCGGGACCGTTTTTCTCTTTTCGTTTGTGAAGACGTCAGTTATAATCTTGGTCAACTCCTCCTGAATCTCCTCGGAGCCCCGTTGTCAAATTCCTGAGTTGTGGTGTCACGCTGTACTATGTATCGCATCGAATTGAGTCGTTTTGAAAAATTACGTTTTTTAAAAAAACACGATGTTCATCCCAGAGACTGGTTTAGAAAGCACCACCCCTCTTCACTGGGAGATGAAGTTTCTTAAGCGTTTTACAGAAGGGAGGTTTTCTTGCGAGTATGAGTAATAGATTCGTACTAATGACGGACAGATTAGGTGATAATGAACAGGAGAAGGCAGAAATTGGTATACACTGGGGTGTCGTTGAGATGCAAAGAAAAAATCTAAATAATTTTCTATCAAAAAGGTGAAATACGATATCGATTTTCTAAAATGAAAGGGGTGGAACAGTATTTTTGTTGTAGTAGTTCAGGTGGGTAGCTGGGTCAGCATGCGTAGGCTGCAAAGGAACAAGTAATAGGTTTATTCCCCGTTGAAAAGCCTGTCTTCACACCTGAAGAAGGCTCCACGGCCGAAACGTTGTGGTTTTTTCAGCATGGAATAAACCTATTACTTCTTCCTTTGCAGTATTGATGTTGTCCATCCCTGACGGCTTTAGAAGCCTTTCAGCGCCGCCATGTCAAAAACTCAGATTCCCAGAAGGCTTTGCACCACCAAGGCTCTGTACTATGAGGGCGAAGCGCAGGCAGAACTTCCTTTCTGAGGAGGACGGGGAAGAAAGCACACGTTTCCAGCGTGGTGTGAGACAATGTGGCCCTGTGAAATAGGCTGCAATCGCGGAGCCTGCATTTTAAAGCGGGTTCTTTTACCAGAAACTTGAATGTAGCGTGGACGTAAGTGCACGGAACTTTGTGTGTTACTATCTGATTTAAACGTGCAACAAAAGCGTTGGAGTGTTTTGTTGCAGCAGGCGTATACACTGCAGTCTGTTGCTAAATGGAAATGCGTTTTAGAAGTTTGCCGTCTCGGTTTTGTCATCGCACTTTGTTTGGCAGCTCGTAACATGTATATTAAGTGTAAGAACAGTCTAAAGACCGAAGTTCGCATTTCTTTCGTCTTAGAATTGTTTTTTTTTTTCAATGAAGCTCTCTTCGAGGAAAGAGGTCCCTCGTTGCGTGCTGTATAATACCTCGAAAAGTCAAGCGTGAGTTCAGCGAAGCCGGTGATGAGCAAAGTTATCCCTGTCTGAGCACAGACTTGCGGACACGTGTTGGTATCTGAGGCTCTGAGCTCCACGCGTGGAGGGCCTCGGCGCCCGGGGTTGGGGGGGGGGGCAGACGGGATCCGTACGCCAGGCGTGTCGGTGTCTGGACCAGGCATGTTGATTGATTATCTTCGATGTTTCTTGCCCTTTGATTCTCGCAGATCAGTGTGGGCTGTGCGTCTGTAAAATGGACGCGGAAGGAGACCGTTTCGAGACGCAGACGCGCACTGCACCCCTGTCCGTGGCGGTAAGTTCAATTCGAAGACAAATAAATGCGGCTTAATCAATTAAAATGAGAGGGAGAGCCTGTGATGATTAAGTTATCCCTGTCTGAACCACTGTTCGTGTGGAACACAATGTCCTCTGAAGGCTCCGAAGCAGTATTCACCGGGTTTTGGATGGGGCGTATTGGAAATACCCACGGCTGCAGAGAATCGGGGGTGTTAATATCCTGTACTGGATCTCAGCCTCGGTACTCGTCTTAGTTGATTTTTTTAAGTACGAAAGCTTAACTATGAATTGAGATGATTTTTTGGTTTTAGTTTTGATCAAGTCTTTGGTTAAAGGTCAGAACGCTAACGGCCACCATTGCTTTACAGTGATGCAGGGCCGAGGTGCAGAGACGGGGGAGAGAGAGAGCGAGCTCTGACCGGCAAGGTGAGTAAAGGCTGTTCTGTCTCAAGGCCGCACGCCGCAGACATCCTCTTTTAAGCCAGCACCGTCCTGCAGCTGCTACGACTACACGGGACCCTGGCGCAGGCCGGGCTTGCACTGGAGAAAAGGCTGGCGAATTGTCGCCCGGCTCCCCGAGCGATCGCTCCAGTGGGCTGTACGTCCGGTGATGATACTGCCTGAATAGGAAGTGCCGTCTGATGCGATAACTGACGATTTCAGGAGCGGTTCTGAGGACGTTGGTGGCCCTGGGGGCGGATTGGGTGAGCTGCCAGGGTGGAAGAGGCAGCCCCTCACCTCTGTCCTTGTTTCCCCAGGGCAGCAGACGGAGAGTCCTGAGGCGGATGCAGTTTGCTCTGGATGTGGACGTGCAGGAGGTGTGTGCCTTCCAGTCATCACCGGTGCGTGTGTGGGGGGGGCAGGTTGTGCACAAACACATTTAAACACGAGTCACATGCCGAGTTAATCATGAGTGTTTCATTGCTGAGGCATCTATGGGGAAACGATAGCTATTACGATTTGATTGCTCTTCTTTTGCCCAATCGTTGATGACAGCACCGTAAGCCTGTGATGACCGTTATCCCTGTCTGAACATAACTGTGGTGGATTCGTGATAGTCTGAGGCTTTATAATATCACCATTTACTTCACCGTCATCGGATAAGGCAGGGGGGCCCAACCCTCGTCCCCAGGACTCAAAGACTTGAGGGGTTTTTGTTTCAGCTGGGCTCTCTGTCACACAATCAATCTAATTAATTGAGCATGAGCTTCAGTCTTTTTTTTTTGACGTTCCTAAACATGGAAATTGCTCTTCCCTGGTCTTTGTTTCATAAGTAAGATTGAGGGGAAGGAAAACTGCCACTGAATCCCCTGGTTAGTTCAATTGGGGATTAAACAGCTGGAACATGAACTAGCAGGTGGGGGGGGTCACAAGTTGGGAGCCCCTGGGGAGGGCAGTTTGGCAACCCGGGCCTGTTTATATAGGGCAAGTCTTCAGTGGCAGGCCGAACGTCTGATCTGGTGTCCTTGTATGTTTTGCACAGTATATAAACACCAGCTTTTGGGCTGCAGCAAACCTCTTATGCAGAAGAGTAACCTAATCTTAAATTTTAGGACCGCTGCTTGGACTGAAGATCGGCTCAGTCCCCGTGCTCCGGAGGAATTGCGTGTGAGTTCTGGAAGATGTGAAACTGGAGGTTTTGTACAGGGAATTGAGTGTTAATAAAGATGTTTGTTGGAATAAAACGATTTGTACTTATTTCGACACTGAAAGTGTGTGAACCTGTCTTTTCCCCCAAAGTCATAGGTACACTGCTGGGTGAGCTACCGAAAATTTACTGATAAGAATCTCTCGCCGACCTGGATTTGCTTATGTGAGTGTGTTTGGTAAATGTTTTTCCCCCCACTGTGTGCTTTCATGGGCGGTTCCCTTAAAAAACTACAACTCCCAGTCACATGGTTCTGCCTCGTCCAATCTTTGTCCTTCATTCAAAACAAAGAAGCGGGCCAGGCATGAGACAACACGAGCGCTTACCCTAGTCAGTCAGGCAGGGGTGACTCAAGTACAAATGAAGATGAGCTGGTATCTAAAAAGATGCAGTGTTGATTGTTTGGTCATATTTTATCTTCAGCAAACAGGATACTGAACAAAGAGAAGTCAGATATAAACATTCGGGAAAACCGTTTCTGCGCCCAAACCTTAACACCAGCAACTTGTTTAATCATTTGAAACAATGATGGCGTGGAATACGAAGAGCACATGGCCAAAAAACAACAGCTGTCCCCAACACAAGAATTAACTAATACTGCCCAATATGCAAAAGATTCACGTGGATGGAACAAGATTACTAATGCCATTATATCCTTAAATTATTTGCAAGACATTGAGCCAAGATAAGGTGTCTGCAGCGTTAATAGTTTCACATATTTAAAACATCTTTCAGCATATCATGTAATCATAAGATCGAGGTAAATGTGTGAAATCATTGTGCTATAGCTTTAAGGTCATATTGCCAAGCCCTAGTCAACACAGTTTCTAGAAACAGGCTTGTTCCAGAGTTGTTCAGACCTTCCAAGTTTCTTATAAATGCTCCAGAAGAAAAAAAAACAAGGTTTTAAGAAAATTCTCTACAAATTTTATTGTATAAAAGATTTAAAAAAAATGGCATGAGGATGGCCCCTGGACAGTCATGCAGTGTGAAAGGCGGAATTGTATGGTGCCTTCTTCAAAGTCTCCAGGAAAAACTGCTCATCTTGGAGGAAATCCTTGTCCTAAACAGAGAACAGTGTAGCCAGTGTTACTTTCTAAGCATAGGATGATATCCTGTACCCATCACACACACACACATCCACATAAGGGGTTGAAATTCTAACAAAAATAAAATCGGATCGTGTCACTAGGCTTGTGTTATTTAGGAGAGAGTTGGACACCTCAATGACTACTTTTAATAACCATTTAACAAAAAAACACAAATCCACTGTACAGGACAAACAAGTTCCAGAGTATATTTTGACAAGCGGGTCGAGCCCTGTCGGTACCTTCTCTGCAGTGTGTCGGAGCAGAGCAAGCCTGGCCTGCAGCTCGGGGGCGGTGTCGGGGAGAGAGAGGGGGCGCAGGGCTTCCCGGGGGACCAGCAGCTGGGTACTGGTAAACGCTGGAGCGAAACCTTTCAAAGGAGAAGATGTGTCAGGAGCCTGGGCTGTGTGGTAGTCATGCATGAGAAAAACTGGTATTTTAGTATGTACCAGTTCCCAGAAAAGAGAGTAGGGCAAAGCTCAAGTTCCTTAACTTAATAATGAAAACCCCTTAAACTAGGAGTTTAGTGTGCCACAATTTCTTCAGGTGTCATCCAAGCTGAAACCTGTTAGGCAACCACACCTGCAGCAATTATTGTCTTAATTACTCAGTTTTAAAGTACTGTATATAATGCCTGAGGAACAGCTGATGTCTCATCTACAATGCTGACCTGATCAAAAAGACATTTTTGCCACTGTTGGCATTTTGCACGTGGAAATATTTACTTTTAGGACTTGCTCGCTCAGGAGTCCATATTTGACGTTGAAATTTTATCTCCGATGTCTAGTGGAGAATGAGCTTTGATATGCTTTAATTGTGAGCGCAGCTCTGTTGAACTGGAAGATACTGTGTGCATATTTACAGTCTATCCTGAGTAGATTTGCAAAGTGAAATGTTTCTGCACCCCAGACTTTTATATTTTTAAATAAAAACGTCCCCCGTGTGCGTCAGTGCTGTTGTCCAGGTGCTTTCCTTGCCCGAGCTGTGGTTACCGGGCAGGGTGGGTGCTTGGGGCAGCAGCAGTGGGGTGACCGGTAGGCCCTGCCTCAGCTGCTCCAGGTCCCTGCGTTGCTCAGTCAGCCTCATGCGCTCCTGAGACAGAGCGAGACAGACAGTTCATTACACATCCCAGATCTCCAGGGAAGTTAAAAAGCACATTCTGGTAATGAATTATTCAACCAGTGCCTAGACGTTCCCAATCCTTGTCTCCGACACCCCATTATCTTGATTTTTTTCCCCACCCACCAGCTGAGCACCCTATTTAATTGAACCATTGTGTCACTGAAATTCACCCCAGGACCTGGGGGGGGTCACGATCCACCAGGTTTTCTAACAACCTCTAAACCTCAATGAGTAAGGTTCTGGCAATGGTGTCAATATGGATCAATTCATGAACACCTGATTCAAAATTAAAATCATTATGAACCCAGATTAGAACGGAAACCAGAAGACAGCAGCCTTTCATGACTGAGTGAATAACAGTGCCTTAACTGAAATTATAACTTGTTGAATTAAATCTTTCACAACTTTAAACCCATACAAAGCTGTAGATCTCAAGTTATTAGTAAACCACTTACAGTTGCAAGAAAAAGTTATTGAACCCTGTGGAATTCCCTGGATTTCTGCATTAATTACTCATAAAAATGTGATCTGATCTTCAACTAAGTCACATTAACAGAGCAACACCATCTGCTTTAACTGATAACACACAAACAATTGTATTTCTTCTTGTCAATATTGAACACGTCGCTTAAACATTCACAGTCCAGGTAATTCCAAATTCACAAACGTTTTCTTCCAACTGTATGTTAATCCGAAGTCTCCCGGCTACTAAAATACTCCCATGTATTCAATTTAATAAGAGGTTAAATGTAATGAAAGTCATGGATCCCACATAAAGCAACCGGGAAGCCCTGGCCTCTGTAGTACAGCGGAGACAGTCACTGTACAACCTAGAGATCTCTGACCATTCTGCACTCCTGCCACCTTGCACTGCAAAGCTCCTGTTCAGTTCCAGACCTGACCTGGTGGAGGTGCTGTTCCTGCTGCCGCAGCCGCTCCATCTGCTGGTGGATGCCGCGCAGCCGGGCTTGGTGCTCGGAAGCGACCTGCCTGGCCTCCTGCAGCGCGCGCTCTCCCTCCTCGTACTTCTCAGCGGCCAGCTGTGGAAGGGCAGGGCAGGGCAGGGCACACCGTTAACGCCGCACACGGTATCACTCTTCTCCAAGCTACAGACACAATGTCGTGTGCAGCAGCCACAACTTGAACACACAGGACAGATGGCTTTTTCCAACAGGACAGCTGCACCGTCACTCTCCAGGTATCGAAACCTAACACTTTGCAGGACCTGATCTGACTGCATGTCAACCAGTCTAAGCGAACACCATTCTTGTCGATGCCACCATAAACGAACATAAAACGACAAGACGCACAAGGGCTGCCAGCAGTGTCCCCAGGACGCTGGGAGTGCCGGGGGGGGTCTCCCCACCTTGCTGAAGGCCTCCACCTGCTCCGCCCGGGTCTTGAGGTGCAGAGCTGCTCCGCTCAGCCTGTCCTTCTCCCGCTGCAGCTCCTCGCTCTCCCTCTGCTGCGCCTCCCTGTCCCGGCACGCTGCCTCCTCCCGCAGCTTCAGCTCGCCGGCCCTCAGCTTCAGCTCCGCCTGCTCCTGCGCCAGGGGATGCGTTTTTTTTAAACTCCAGCGACCGTCGCAGCGCATGCAGACACAGAAGGCCCGAGTAGAAAATAGCATTTACAACCAGGTAGAGGAGGCAGTTCTATACGCCAAGGGTTGTGGGACAAGCTACCCATTCATCGCGTTGAAGCCAACACGCCTTGGTTCCGTTCAAGAAATGGCTGGATGAGATCCTGGGATCAATCGACTACTACCACATGGGTTAGATGGGACAGATGGCCTCCTTTTGTAACGTTTCTAATGACATCCATGCCAAGAAGAGAATGAAACGCAAATGGGGGAGGGTGCTCAGCAGCAGCCTGCCTTCACTACTGCAGTGCAGGGCTGTGCTATGAAGCAACAGGAAGCATGGAGATCAAGGGCACTGGGGCAGCAAGAACAATAAGAACACCAGGCTTACCTGCGCCAGGCTGATGATGGAGCCCTCCCGGTGGGCGTCCCTCTCCAGCGCCCGGTTGCTGTCCCGCTCAGCCCGCTCCTGGACAAGCTTCTCCTTGGCGTGCAGCTCCGCCCACTCCGCGGCCAGCCTCCTGCGCTCTTCGGCACAGCGCTGCATGACGGCCTGCTGCTCCTCCAGCAGAGCGCTCTGACACACACAGGCGACTCTTAGACACAGACCGGCTGCCATCATGCCAGGCCCTCGGCAAGTTCACTCATGCAGTGCTACAATACAACCCCCGTTCGTGAAGTAAGAGACTTCACACTACTTCACTCAAACCCCTCGGTGAATTCAGAGAGCACCGTGTTGTCTCAGAGCTGCTGCATTACAGGGTTCGGATCCCAGCATTTCACCCAGGACAGGGCTTTAGAGGCGCTCCTCCGTTTTAATGGGAATAAAGAAAATGCTGAACACTAGGCCCCTGGCCAATGCAAGTTGATACATTAATGCCGTACTATAATACAAACCCCTTTTATGAAGGAATAGACTTCAGTCAATTAAATTCAAATTACATTTTTTTTTATTTCAGAGAGCATGGTAGAGCCTTAGAGCCTGGTTGCATTACAGTTTTTGGATCCCGGGTTTGATCCCAGGCCAGGATCATCTGTGTGATTTTCTCTGGGCCCAGAGACATGCCGGCTGGGCAAACTGGCGTCTCACATCCCTGTGTGTACCCTGAGGCGGACAGTCGTCCTGTCCAAGGTGCAGTGCTACTTTGTACCTTTAGCTTCGAGACGAGGCTATGGGTGGTTGTGACCCTTAACGTGCAGTTTTCTAAAAGTGGATCCACACCAAGTAGGCCACACTGCTTGCCCTGCTGTCTTTCACACGGAGTGTTGAACCATGAGCCATCTGTCCTTCAGGCACTAGGGAATAACTGACCTTTGCCCTCTGGAGCTCCTCCCTCTCCATGGTGATGTTCTGGGTCAGGGTCCGCCGCTCTTCCTCCAGCACCCTCAACGCGGACTCGGCCTTCGCCTGCTCTGCTGTGACCTTCCACCGCTCCTGAAACAAGGACCAAGGCGAGACGTGTCCCAAGACAGCACTGCACTTTTGAGTGGAGGGTCCAGAAAAGTGCTATATGAGTGTAAGGAATTGTATTACTTATTCATTATTATAATTAAATGTATAATTAGCTGATCTGAGTAAGCAGGGAAAAGCGTAGCAGCAACATAGCACCCAATGAACCCCTGGCCCCCTGGCGAAAGGGGACTGCAGGTTCCTGTGTGGTCACTTGAAAACGACGCCCCCCCCCTCAGACTCACCTTCTCCAGCTGCCTCTGCTGCTCCGCCAGCCGCGTCTCCATCCTGGCGATGACCTCCTCCATCCGCGCCCGCTCCCCGGCCATGTCCCTCTGCTGCTGGCTCAGCCTGTCCTGCAGGACTGTGGACACAGCGCAGCCACACCGTCTACCTCCCCTCTGGTGGACGCCCACAAGGGCGGCGCGGTGACCTGTCTCAACAGGCTGTCTGCCACAGTGTGAGCAATGTGCAAGCACGGGTCTGCACCCGGATGTGGAAGTTTATACTTAAAAGAAGTCTGGAAATTGAACTGGGGTATATTACATTATATTTTATAAATATCATTTGAATTGGGTGGGTGTGGACCACAAAATAATTGACGATTATTAAAACACTAAAACATTCAGTTTTATCTGACATAGCCAATCATACAGCCAATCACCATAGTGTAAAATATACTGTACACTGTGCGTGTGCATAATGTTTTGCCCAATCTGATGCTGCTCTGTCCCTCCGTGTGTCACGTACTGCCTTTGGCATACCTTCGCCTGCCGATTTCGCCCTTGGGATTATTATTTTTCCTATTGTATTCTCCCTTAACATCATTTTATGACAATGAAGATGATGACGCCGGGTCTGCCCTGGCACTAGACAGATCTGAAAGAGTCAGTCACAGCAAAGGGGTCCAGGCTCTCCCAGCGGCACTAGCTCACGCTGAGCAAGAGGAGGCAACTGCTACTGATGTCATGTTGCTGAGACGCTGGCGGCACCGTGCCCGCAAGGAAGAGAAGCACATCTGGGAAACCGATTCCAATCACTCATTTTTTTTAAATGAGAACAGAACTAACAATAGTTCTGTACTCTGTTTTTTTAGGATTACAGTAGATTATTAAACCAGATTTCACACGTAGACTGCGCTTCCATTAATCTATGATTTCTCTACTCAGTTTCAGCATTTTCCAACATTTTCAGTTATCCGACATACTATCGGTCCCGTTTAGGTCGGATAATCGCGACTCAACTGTATATCATTTTCACAGACACTGGTGTAAAATGCGTTTTTGAACATCTGATTAAAAAAGTGAAAAGGAAAAATGTTATGAGATCAGACGCAGGTACTGTGAGAAAAGCAAGTAGTTCAACACCAACCATCTGCAATGTACTGTGCACGGCCAGCAATGCATTTCTGAACTACTCTGCAGACTGAAGCCCACCACAGGGGCTGCACATGCAACCCGGTGCACGAGTTCGCTGGTATGTGCGAAGGAGGAGAGGCGGAGAGGGGCGCCCTACCTCTGAGCTGCTCGTCTCTGTGGCGCGCCCCCACCTCCAGCCCCTGCGCTGCGTGCTCGTGGGTGCTCTCCACGCGGGACGACAGCTCTCCCAGCCTGTGCGAGAAGTGCTCCATCTGCTCGATGACTCCCGTCAGGGACCTGGGAAGACGCACAGCACGCACACAAACACGTGAGAATCCCGCGCAGGCGGCCCCCTCCCTGTACAGCACAAGCCTCTCCGGAAACCAGAATCATTAGGTTTTGCAGGGAGAAATATTAGAAATGGCTCCCAACACTGGAGAGTTTTATAGGGAAGATAGGAAGATATAAGCTTCTTCTGTCTCGCATAATAGGAGAATACTTTCAGTGTATGAGCTCTCTTAAGGCCATACTTGTCAACAGCAGGCTAATTATTTAATTGAGTCAAGTACCTATAGGCAGCCTGATGTAGAAGTTAGCCTGAAGTAGGAGTAAAAGAAGAGCAGGGCTGCGGAACACCTGTTAGAATACTACGTGTGCCTGCTTCACCTGCTTGTGAAACCTGTTAGCGAAGCATAAACGGCACATACTGTGTTTATTACTCACAAAGGTTTATAAGCACCTAGCCAATCTGAAGGGCATGTCTGTACTTGTATACCTCACATAACCAACCCTGAAGTGTTACTGAAGATTCTGCTTTACTGAGATTACAGAACACACAGCTTGATAAGGCCCTAGAATCAATAACCCTCTACCACCCAAATGTGTAAACTGTGCCAATACCTCCTTCCCGATTTTTATTATTTTGTGCTAACTGTATATTCACGGTTTTGAGAGGCCTCGGCGTGAGCTGCGGTCTGGGGGATTACCTGGTCTGGGAGGTAGCGCTGGTCACTGCATCAATCTCCTCATCTTTCAGCCTCTTCAGACGCTGCACCTGCACCTCGTGGTCCTTCTTCATCTCCAAGATCGACTTCCTGTGGGTCAAAGGTCAGAATGAGGCATGACTTCAGTAGCGGAAATTAATCCAATAATTCAATGAAGTCATTCAAGGGCTCCGTTTGAATGAAAAGCAGATGACCCCCAAATGCCTTCCCGGAGCAGGAGAGACTATCTCTGGGCTATTTCCATGGCTGTGCCGGCAGCCCGATACCTCTGCAGCTCCCGCAGCCTCTCCACCTCCCGGTCCCTCTCCTGCTGCGCCTTGGCCAGCCGCTGCTGATACTGCGCCTGCAGCCCGGCGCGCTCCTGCTCCCCCAGCCGGGCCAGGCCGGCCAGCCGCTCCTGCAGGTCCTCGTTCTCCTGCCGCAGGTGAGCGTCCCGCTGG